TTCCAGGATAAAGGGGTGTCCAAGATATAGGGTATTGTGGACATGTAAAATTATAGGATATTCGCCGGTTCCAATTAAAAGTGTCCAATATAAAGGGGTGTCCAGGATATAGGGGTGTCCAACTAGAGGGGTTTTACTGTATATATTAGTGGGTTCCTGTCATATGGTCTGTGACGTCGAATCTTACTGGTTGATACCAACGTTCTGGAGAAACGAATGACCATCTCTGGAGTCTACACAACTCAGAAGCAAAAAATAGACATTTTCACCGCCGTGAAAATATAAAATCGAGTAGTGTGGGATTTTGGATTCGATTAAAAACTCTGTGACCTTATACTGAGCGTGCTATGCATCGCTGCCCCCAGTTTTTTGGGCTCGTGAAAATCGGTGGAGCGTAACGCTTTTAGGGTAGCCCCCGGCGGCAACATGAACAACCCTTCGTGCGTTTGTCCTAACAAAGCCGCTGATCGTCCCACTGCTTCGTGAACAGAACCGATTTCAGTCGCGTATACCCTGACCCTATGTTAATCACCTGTCACTAAAGTGACACTCTATTCACTGATTGACTGGGGGTAAGATTCTCACTTCCATGCCAGTTCCGGGTTCTACCCAGCCTCCTATCCTTTTATGACCCAATGGTAAATATATGTAGCGCCTGCTATAACATTTACGAGTAATATATCTGCACTTTTTCCATATTGATTTTATAGAGTTCGTAATTATTCTCAGAATAAGTGGTGATTAATCCCTTCAACACGTTCGTTGCCATGGAGATACATAATGTTTACTCTGAGGCAAAAATCCGAATTTCTACAAGCTACTTAGCGTAGCCTTGGATTCGAGAAATTATAGCTTCAACAGTAATGATGAACAAAATCAAAAGTTCGTCTATCATCAAACGCACACATTGCATCGGAATCTTCTAACTATAGGATTCTCGTTGTCCCGCCAAAAATAAAGTCTCTTCCACTTCTTCTTCCCCGCAATTTTCTTGTTGTCTCTACTCTTCTGCTATCCTTCATAACACTTCTCTCTCTCTCTCTCTGCTTCGAAGGGTTAATGGATTAATAATTATAAACATACAGGAAGAGTCAATTGAATAAAAATTTACTTGGATATTATCCATCGTCTAGTAATAAAACGTAAAAAACGTAAAACGACGTTTCGGAGATGGGGCTCTATCTCCGTCTTCAGGTTCCTACTCTGTTGGGCCCACTAGATAGAGCTAATCCCTATCTCCGGAGATAGGGATTAGCCTGAAGACGGAGATAGAGCCTCATCTCCGAAACGTCGTTTTACGTTTTTTACGTTTTATTACTAGACGATGGATAATATCCAAGTAAATTTTTATTCAATTGACTCTTCACCATCGTCAAGAAGTTTTAGATTTGATATACAGGGAGAATGTCCAGCGCCTTCGAGTTTCTCTGTTATGCAGCCCCACAAAACAATCTTTATACACTCTTACCAACATTTTTTTTTCGAATCACATCAAGTGTTCCTCTCTTTCCCCCCTTCTTTCTGCACATTTTCTCATATCTTCGCTTTCAAACGTGACTGTACTGCATTACCACGTCTTTACAAAGGCAACTGACTTTTGGTCGATAAATTAACAGGATGCATTGCCGAAGCGTCGTATTTACATGCAAAGCGTCTGATAGGCCAGTAAGGGTGACTTTAATACGTCACGTGGTACAGCGAAGAAAAAAAGAGGGTACTCAACATTCATTCTACATATAATCATGTGTACTATTTTTGAACGATTAAAAATTAATAAAATCTATAACTCTGATTAGAGCTTCGTGTAATATGAGCAAAACTGTACTTCGTGATCGAAAAGAGACAAAATTAAATGCCACCGATAAATCTTAATGGAAACCTAAAACAAATTCTAACAAAAAAATTACTTCTTAAATTTTTGACAAGGTATATAAAAACGGCTCGGAAATCACCAGAAACCACCATTCAAGCATTTATTTATTTTAAACAGCCCATAAAATATATAACGCACACGAATTTAAACTAATATACGAATTTGTTCCCTTTATAAATTTAAAACTTTGATAACTCGGAATTTATCCAGTAAAATACATATTTAATTTGTAAAAACCCTCTTGTATACCTCACAATAACAGCTCTTCAACAACATTTAATATGATGCAGGAGTTTAACGGGATTTGGTTACCGTGACGAGAGTCTTTTAAAATTTGAAGAGTAGCATTTCCTTGAATGTGCACACCTCCTATCTAAAAATACAACCACTAAAACACACATAACGCAATGCTACCGATTGTTTTCGTGGGCGTGAAACTTCAGGATATACCGAAACGTCGACAATATAATTCACACGTGCAAGGTTCTAACTCAGCAAAACATGATTTATATTATTTTGTTAGAGGATTTTTGAGAACAGGATGTTGAGGTAAATATGTGAACGTAAGAAAAGGATTATTACGTCGACAAGAGACGTATATGTAGATCGAAAGTTACTTTTTATCGATATCATATTACTTATCGCCAGCCTGGAGAATTCTTTAGATACATATTTGACTATGTAAAATAATAAGACGGATTTTGTATAAAATTATAAGAGTTTTAATTTCATGTAGTTTTGCAAGCACAGATCATTTTATGTTCTTGGTTCAGAAGTTAAAAGTTAGCATCAAGGAACGTCTGAGAAAATCATACGGGTAACTTGTGACTACTCTATGAAGTCAGAGAAACATTTCCAATGGCGGTTTAAGTGTGACACAGTAAATGAAAGATGAAACAGCCTTTTTGAGGAACTGCACAAAGACGATGCAATGGTCGATTGTATTTGTTGCACAGCGCCTTCGTTCAACAGGGAGCTCCTTTGTATTGCATGAATGAGCAAAGGGAACATCAGCGACGAGTTCTACAAAGCAAAAGTTTCAATTCTGCGGTAACAGCCAATTGTCTAGTAGTAAATATAAAAAACCCTGAAGTTTAAAAATAAAACTGCTATCAGCAAACACCAGTCACAGAGCGAGTTTCATCCAGTTACCATATTCCACTTACGATAATTTTATCTTCCGAGACCCACGTCTTTCAAAGGGCTTACCCCCTAAATTCTACCTGCATATCTTGTATACCGGATCCATGTTACGTGTTCATCTTACAGCATCATCCCTGATTTCACTATTCTAGCAATACTACGTACGGACTGACTCTTCATCCAATATTAGGACGATAAAATCAAGGAGGATGGGCTAGAAATGCAGCGCGCATTTTGGAGATGATAAATTCGTACAAAATTGTAATCAGCGAAGCTGAAGAGAGTACATGACGTAATTACACAAGAGTAATATAAATATGTTTATCGCATCCCACGCATAGACACTAGAATTACCAAATGCAAAATCTGTCGGGTTAGAGTTATTAAATTAATTTAATGATTTATATTTCATCTGCAAACTCACCCTCCCCCCACCCTCCCACTCACAATGTATATATCGGTTATTGCCAGAATAATATATATTAAACAGTGCAATTTCAAAGCAGGTGATTATGATTAATTGAGCTGATAAAAGTATAATTTTCGGCGAATCTATCCTAGCCTTCCTCAGGATCAAAGGGTTTTATAATCCATGTTATAAAAAATAGAAATGATTTTAATTATCCTGGCAATTTGATGCTAAATAATGCCAAAAAAAGGCGACACAATCTATTAAATTTGTAGACAATGGAGTGTACTTGGAGGATTTACTTTCCCGCCCAGAATATTTCCAAAACTTACAGACCTCCTTCAAGATGTCTGCTACAGTTATGGCAAGGCCGAAATCTGCCCACTTTAGACGAGTCATACACTTATAAAAACAGTTACATGAAACCCTTTACATGTAATAGGTTTCATGCAACACACAGAAGAAATTTCTTTGACCCTGTCTTCACATGGGGAGATCTTTACCGAAAAGATAACTTGCAATAATTCCATGTATCAGATGGGGAGGATCACACAAATTTCAACATTTGCTTCACGGCCAATGATTTGTGATAAGGTTCATTTTCTTTTCCCAGGTCTACAGCGAGAATCCACAACAAAAATGGCTTACCCGGACCCGGTTACGAACCTTACTGCCAAGGCCCAGGTCTACAACGCAAACAGAAGGCTTTTGCAGCTAGCTGTGTCGTGGATCCCTCCTACTGGTACGCTCTGTTATGAATTAAGTAACTACCACTGAAGATGACTTACTGTTCAGTGGGTTTAGACTTACAAGTAGATACCTACGTTTAAGCCCTGAAGAAGGAGACAGTATATGTCTCCGAAACGTTTCTATCTACCTATGAGACCATATGGCGTAACACCAAAAATATATAAATGAGTATTCAAATAAATTATTACATACTTTATCTAGGTATTTAATTAAATTCAGACATTCTACAGGGCACCAAGTCTGGCCCAGGAAATGTATTTTCGTTCAGGAAAACTATTTTTTTCTATTGTACAGTAAAACGGCAAGTGTTATAAATTCAATGTTGTTTGTTGGCTCTACAACCTACTTGTGGGTTTTCGCCTTCTCATTTTTGGAGGTTTCTTGGTCTTGAAGTGTGGATTTAAGAGTAGCGCGTAACCAGCCCAGTGACTCTGTTATAAATTCATTAAATCATCGTATTTCCAGAACACGCTGTATAACTGAGGAAAAAAAAACACCACTATCGAAAAAAAAACACAGATACGTGGTTTGTGTACGTTTATTCTTCATACAAAACAAAAATTGTGCCAAGGAAATAATACAAGGGCTTAACATACGCAGTGAGTATCAGGGGGGCAAAGAACGTAGCTTAAATTCTAAAAATAAATCGGATGAGACGCTTTTTCGAAACCGTGATTGGTTTTGTGTTATACCCAATGCATATGAAACATACAGTAAAACAAAAATAAAGCACGTGAAGCCCCCTGTAGAGACAGCTTGAGAAAACCAATATCAAATTTAATTTTATATCGTATCTTACATTTCAATACATATGTATAGTAGTCGGGACGAATCAGTGCGTTAAACGACCATTACGAGTTTAGGGCAAGTGGATCAGAGGGACAGCAGATAAAGAAGTGATACCATTCAGGCTATAAATATTATTTGTTACAGTTCGCTGTCTCAGGTGATGTTTTTGTTTTGCATAGTATACGAATTTTTTCCCCCCTTCTGCCCGCAAGCTAGTGAGACATACATCTCGCCCCGATTACTGAAAACTGTGAATGTCAATAAATGTTAATTTTTATAAAAGTCTTTAAAATTGCAGCTAAACAAAGATCCATATCGATGACCATATGTGGCTTCATCAGAAAATAATCGCTGTTAATTAGTTATATAATTACTAAACGAACTTCAAGGATCCTGAAATCGAACATCAATATGCACTGAGTGAGTGGATATAAATACTGTAATTAACTGTGAATTCAGACGGGCCATCATACAATATTATAATTTGTCACACGCTAATGAGACTTGTTGATTGGAAGGTCTAGCCGGCTCGTGTATCATTAAAATGTTGGTTTGAAAGTCAGAACGTAGTGACACTCTTGCATTCCTACGCACAGAGAGCGATATTATGCCAATGGGCGTTCAAACACTGTACAGAGAAGAGAACTGGGTTTTCTAGGTGTACAAAGTGTAAAACACTGAACGCATTGTGGACTGTGCTGAGCGAAAACCACACATTTACAATGTAATTATTTAATTTAGTGGTTTGCGACCTGTATTATGCGAAGGCCACTTTCTACGCATTACGCGGCCAGATATGTAGAACCCAAATAACAATAATTACGTTATCTAAATGAATATTATGTTAAGTTTTAAATTATCACAAAATGTGGTATTCTGCGACAGCATTCTTAAAATTAAAGGGTGCAGAATTTGATTTCAATGCTTGCAGTTAGTAACTATCAATGTGACTGTAATTTTTAATATATATTTTAACTATCAATGTTGTTAGTTTTCAGTACATTTTTCTGAGATATTGCGCCATGTATTCTCGTAGAAACTGATCGACGTTTCAGAGGTGCTGTTTCCATTACAAGGGATGATGGAGCCAGTACGAACCTTTGAAACGTCGGTCAATTTCTACGCGATTATATGACGTAATATCTCAAAAGGCTGTCATATTCATATTCGTCGCTTTGCGGACCTGAAATATATACTATTAGTTTTTAGTTCGTCAAATTAATCCGCAGGCAAGATTTGGTATACCATCAGGCCACAAGCAACCCGTGGACCACGAGATTCTCCCCACTGATTAAGTATTAGGAGCAGAATCCCACATTTCAGTCACTGCAAGCTGTGCCTGTCTTGGTCCCTTCCTACAGCCCGCATATTGGTAAATTCCGAAGTTCTGTGGGATGCATTACAGAACACTTCAAAGACCCGGATAAATGCTGAATATTCATCATCCCTCAGGACACGGTTGTCTGACGTAACATGTTACTGAGGTACACACAAGATATTAACAAGCATACAACGTATTACGGAATTAATTAATAGTTTATTTAACGACGACAACTCATCTGCCTTGGTCGCAAGACTTCAAAGGGCAGGGTAATTTGTGAATGATAGGAAATACTTAGGACACGACCGACATTTAACAGGAGGGACTGAAGAGTTACACGAAAAGTCTCTCTCGGGATGGCTCGTCTCCGGGCCGAGAACTTCCGAATAAAATACAAGATAGAACGACAGTGTTAAGTAGCTTCACGTGACAGACAGAGAAGCCAATGAACTTACAGTCCTTTGTGATACATAATAATATTTCTGGATGAAGCTGGAAAAGACACGCCCCATTCTTATAGAAACCAAATATTTATGAGTTTCCCCCCAGTAGACTATTCGCAAATCCTGCTTAATTACAAGAAACTAAATCATCAGCATAACAATAAACGATCAATAAAGGGAGACATCTGCTTCTCTCAGGAACTACTTCTTCTTATTCGGTTGTTAGATAAAGTCTAGTGATCCCACCTGCTTCAACAATATCCATACAACTAAACTCACCTTTCTCTCTCTACTTTCTCTCCCTCTCCCACTCTCGCCCACGTGCTACCATTGGTCCACTCCCATACCTGCTCCCATTGGCTCGGGTCAGGCTACACCTTTCACTTCCCTGCCTATAAATCCAACTCCTCACACCCTATTGGCATATTCATCGCCCTGATGACGGAGGCAGTATGACCTCTGAAACGTTGGTTAACATCGACCAGGCTACACAGCGCAATAACCCAGAAGACAGAAATCTTCAATAAATTATATAGATTTGTTTGTGTTTCATATGATGCTCAGGCATTATTTCCTCAAAACAGAATTAACCAGCTGACGATTGGAATGTCGAGATGTATTTTTCTTTGCAGTAAGGACACAATTCTAAAATATTATTTATTTGAACGTTGGCTTCAAACGGTTAAAGCGTCTCTATTTTTCTTAACAAGTTGTCAAACAAGAGTCGGCAAGTGCGATGCCTGCTTTGGCGATTTTATGACGTAACATTCACATGCATTTTATTTAAGCTACTGAAAATTTGACTCACTCAAAAGAGATGACGTCAGAGAGAGAAAAAAAAAGATTAGTTGAGACTGCAAGGATTTAAAGAGATTTTCTTTCGACTGTTCTTTGGTGGTATAAATTACTTTGTGTGTGTGGAGCACAGTCATTCTTTTCATCACATTTATTTCGGTACGTACAAGCAAACACCGCATTATAACTCAAGTTTTAAGTCTGTTAAGATCAGACGAATAAGCCGTTAACACAACAAGCTGTATTATATAACCTGGCAGCAAGAGGCTTAGTCCAGAATAAATGAACTGGCTTTTATCAAGTTGTAGTTACCAAGACTCCTGGATGATGGGCGGAAACATTCAGTGACTTCGCAAGAAAAAAAAATTGGATAATGGAGTTTCTGTGTGCTGATATTATTTCAAGAAAACGACACAAAAAACAGGAAGACAAAAGACGACGCAGAAAGAGAAAATATTCGAAGAGTTTGCTTCTTAAAGTTGGGCGAGACGGACAAACGGATTTCATGAAATATAAATCTGCAGAGGTTTTGCTGATATCTGTCGGCACAATCCAATTCATGTTAATTTTTTCTGGTGTGACCGGGTGGGGGATCCCCAGGCTACAATAGCTATTTGGGGAATCTTCAGTCACCGATGTTACTACCCAGCCAGGTACCCTACTCATTCATCGGTCAGTGACCTCGAACTCTGACGTCCTAGGCGCCATTTTCAAAATGTCAAAGGTCAAATTCGTGTTAGATGTCATATGAGACTGGTCTTAGCAAGAGTTAAAATTCTACGTCGTTTTGTGTATGTAATATGTTACTGGGGCCTTAATTTTCTGTTCAAAATTGTGGCTAAATATTATAATTAATCTGTAGTAAATTTGTGAACAATAACATTTTACTTTTACAAGAGAACCATATTTTCTGTTTGAACTCGCTTCGTCCGATAAAAGTCACTAAAGCCTCATTTACGTACTCCATTCCAGTGCATACATCCAGTGTTCCAGCATATTACGCCTCCAAGCTTCGTTCTCTCATGACTCTGGGATCAAATACATAGGTAGGAGGGGGAGATCGCTTTGGCAGGACAAATGAGCTGCTCTAAACAAGCGCACAATATGTTAGGAAACCCAGTTATAGTGACCTTATCAAAATACAATAAATACAGCGGGCGTTGGCCGACAAAACCGATGATTAAAAAGTGAGCTGAAAGACAAATTTCATTCCGACGCGGGGTCTGACATATAAAATTACCAGCTATAAATCTGTTGAAAAACTTTGAAAAACGGATATATATATTTACCAAATTTATAGGGCTCCAACATTGCGATAAATATCATGGTTAAGTCATTATTTATCAACTGTTGTAAGCACAGTTCTATCCTTCGGGATACCTGCCCGATTTCATACTAAATAATACAGAGGTGAAGTGTCATCTTAGGCTCCACTGTCACCACCAATTCTTGTACAGTGTCATCAGAGACTAAGTACAGAGAACAGAATTCCAGACGGTGTCAACACGAATTTCCTTCGTTTGGTGTTTGAAAAAACACCACCTTCGGCTTCAAAGGGTTAACCAGCTGATTTTCGTAATGGTGAGGTGTAGTGTTTTCTTCGCGGTACGGACTGAATTCATAAATAATATTCAGACGATCTTCGGCTTCAAAGGGTTAAAGCGAGGAATCGTAAAACAAAAACACTATAAATATAACGCCATTTTTTAATAGTAGTTGTTCTGTGTCCAAACGGACAATCAGTGCTACCTAGCGGACACGCAGTGAACATGTACAGTCTACTTGCAGAGCTATAAATCGAATATTACCAGCACTAAAATTAATTAAGTTTAAAATGTAAATAAATTCTTAGTATATTATTCATATCTTAATATACCGAGTGTCCATAAATTAGAGAACAATTTGAAAGGCGTATAACACATACGAAAAATTTATGCATGAACGTCTGTGACCATCACACGTGATAAAACTTTAATGTTACGCGAATGTTAAGTTGCACGTACCTTTCTTGGTATGAGTTATACATAAATAATTTCAGGCCCTTTAAATCGTCCACTAACTTATGGACAGTCTGTAACCACCTGTTTGTTCCTCATCCTAGCTCTAATACCGCCATCAAATTAATCCGCAATGGATGTTTCAGTTAGGGGCGCAGATATTTGAACGCAGTCCCATTTATAGGGTAATTCAGTATTATCACTGTGCATCAAATGCTTTACGTAAATCCCATGGCATTTCTGTAATATTTAGACCGAATATGGAGGAAACGGATGGAATAATAATAATAAATATGGAGACATTAATTTGAACACCGCAACTAACACAAATATTTGTATTGTTTTATAATGGAGCCATTTTAAATAAAGGACTGTCCGGTGACTAACAATAAAATTACGGTTGTATGAAAAATATTCACGTCTTATTTACCATGTGGTCAGTTTGAAAACCTGCACTAGATTCGCTAATTCATAAAGTCCCATTGTTCACGTATGTAATTGTTTAGTATATTAAAATGTATTTATTTTATTCTCTGAACAACTTCTGGGGCATTTTATACATCGCATATAATCAACTACCTTTTGCACCGGAATTCAATATTTAGGACAAAAGCATTTCGGTCCAACAAAGTACAGACATTATTTTTCATCCTATTTTGTTAAAAATTGCATCACATCGAAAAAATGTTTGCAATTAAACTGCTAGACCTTCATGGGGGCCTATATTACACGCCTACTCAATGTTCATGTAAAGCCAGAATCATAACTCACAGGTTCGCATAAAAATTGAACAATACAAAATTTAATTAAAATATACGAAGTAATCTACATTCGGCGATGAAACATGCAGACGGACAAAATATCTAAGATACAGAATTTAATTGAAATATATCAAAACAGTTCTGAAGATTACGCATTTAGGCAAAAATGCATGATTTCCTCTGCGTCTTACGTATTCTACCACATCGTGAAAAAGTTTTTATTATAATCTTAAACTGTTTAGAATTTTGTGCATCTCTAATCAAACGTTGCACGGCGAAGTCAACGCTGGTACTTTACAATATTTACCGCTTCAAATTCACTTCCATTACTTCTTGCATCAGGGAGGGAATACACACTGATATAGCTTCAACAAAGAAACACAGTTTTTTGGTGTATGTTCGCATTCAAGCCCAACACTATTGATTTCTGAGTCTAGACATTTCTTTCCATTCGTTCCTGTCTATAACAGAGCTGAGAAATGGAACTGAACGTAAACAACACATCAAAATCAAGAACACGTTCTCATGTGTATCTTATCCCTTCATGAGAATTTAATCTTCTCGACGAAGGAACAACGAACGTACTAAACAACCAAGTAACTAAGCACTGACTAACAAAACAATTAAACCAAAAAATAATTAATTGCATCTAAGTAACTTACTACGTAACATTTTAGCTGTGTTACTCTGACTGGAACTTTTCAAAAAGAATAAAACTTCCTTTGTTCAGTAATACTTTTTACACTGAGGCGGTAAGATACAATGCATCGTTAGCCACCTCCAGGTAGCAAAGCTAATTTTTTTTTTTTTTTTGAATTTCAAAAATGTCTAGCTCAATCCGTCAAGGACCCAAATGTGATTATTCGGATGTAAGAATAAGTCCAATAGAGCATTATTCTCTTCAAATTAAATTTATCTGAATCAATAATAAATAATTAAGGTCAATTTTGGTTACTTGTTCGTATTGTTAAGACCTTGTATTGTCAGGATCAGCTCCATATTTTATCGGAATGATATTTCCGACAACAGACAATCGAAGGTGTTAAGTACCTTAGATCAGTGGTATTCAACCTGGGGTACGCGAAGACATCTTAGGGGGTACATAAAATTTAAAAAAAAAATATATATATTTTATGATAAACACTGAATAATCAGTAATGTAATTTATTTAATTTATTTTAGATGTAGATTATATACTATGTATAACTTGAATTATACACCAACAACTTTGGGGGTACAAAGTTGAAGTGAAATTATATTTGGGGGTACGCGAACAAAAAAGGTTGAATACCACTGCCTTAGATGATCTGCGCTAGCATGTGAGGGAAACACAGTTGTTTTTATAGATGCTGATGATTCATTTGTCTCTGTTTGCAGCTGGAACCCTACCGTCCAGTTACAATTTGCATGTGGAACCAAATAACACGTCCGCCAACTGCAAAACGCTGTCCTATTACAAGCATATCGATAATAAGGTGAGTGGCTTCATCTGCCTCCAGAGATAAAGCCAGAATGAAATATCTTTCTTTTAAAATCTCCATCTGTAAGTGTTTTTTACTATTTTATAAGAGAGACTGGGATTCAACGAATCCTAAGATCCGTCGAAAACTACTGCTCGTTTTTTATGTTTAAATTTCTTATCCTCTGAATTCAGAATTCAAGCTTCAAAAACGAATATCAAAATAGTGAACGTAATCCAGTGACTCCCGTCGTGTTCAACTTTACTTTACTGACATATTTTACGTAATACGACAAAGGATAAGTAAACACGTCTATTATTATCGTATATTAAATTCCCCGAAGTCTAACTGCTCTTTGAACAGAATTTTGCAAGCAAGTTTTACTTCGCCTCCATTATCAATCCCATAAATGTCATACTAGAATGCCCACGCCACATGTGGGTAGTTATATTAACAAAATTGTGCCAACTAATTTTATCTACGACTGAATTAATTCAGGTTTCACTGCCACCTCCCGGAAAAACGTAATATTATTTCGTGCTTTGAATTATTTTTATTTTAAAATCGTAAAAAAAATAAAGAGTTCAATATTCAAGCAACCCACCTACTTTCTATGTAATTTATAACTTTCTGTAAAAAAAACGGATTTATAATAAGCGCAAAGGAAAAAAAACTTTTCAAAAAGAACGTATGCGGAGTGTGTGCACGCTATTATTCATTGACATAAAATATAGCAGCAAATAAAATTACCCCAACTAATTTCAAATAGAATGTGCAATTGTAAGGTGATAATTGAAACAAAACTCTGACCCATCCACCTAAGCGATATAAACAAAACCCATGTTTGAATGAACATAATTAGAAAATTCCGAACAAACATAAAACTGTTTGAAGTCGAGGAGTGTAATTTAATATTATTTTATTACTTTCCACGTGTACAGTCGTATAAAGTGACAGGCAACAAATAATTTCTTCAGTACCCACTGGAATACGTCACATAATATCATTCAGCTGCCCCTACTGATTCAATACGTACATCTGCCGATCAACAGAAGAAATATTATTATTTAATAAGGAATTATATACGACAGATTTCCGCAATCACTGACCTCTCATCAGACCATGATCGGATTCCTAGTAGCGGCATTCTTTCAAATGACTACTTTGTCTAAACGGTATCAGTGCGATATTGAAAAATTAAGGCAAATTAAACTACTTAAAAATTCAAACAAAACGAAGTAAGTTATTGACAAGTCACTGAAGTATGTGCTTCGTTCTGTCATCGAATACGAACATCTGTGACGTCATACCCCCCTACGTTTAATTTCCCAAAACAAAAAAGCGATTTAACCGTTAGAGATAACGTGCATCCCGTTCTTTGTAGGACGCAGAAAACGTCTCCATCCCAGACTACGTAGACGTTGTGAACGATTTTTGGGTTATTCCTGGATGCACCTATAAAATCGTGGTGGAGTCCAACCCACATGACGGCAAGAAAAACACATCGTTAAAGTACACAGTCCCAGGTAAGGGCGACACTAGAATTAAACGTACATAAGCAAGTACTTACCACCCAGCATCAAAACCTCAGGAAAACCGCCGAAAGACCGAGACGGGAATCGAACTCCTTGTAACTGCACCAGCCTGTAATTTTATTCAAGGACTTAGAATGACGTTCGTTAACTGTTTATAGGTAGATACTAACGTTGAAGGGCTGAAACTGAAGGCAGCATGTTCTTCTACGACATTGGTATCCACCTAGAAGTCCAGATAGCTCTACAGCCAAACCAGAAGATTATAAATAACAAACTTAATTGAATTAACCAATTGCATAAATTACAGCTCGGCTCTCAATGTGCCACATAAACCATTTCCTCATAAGACGGCAATCCATGCTATTTTCAGTGGTAATTTATATATTAATTACACCACCAAATCTCTGGGCTTTTTATACTTTGTACACTTCATTGATAAACCGTAACTCGAAACTATCATTTCCCGGCTCCTGGCAGGAGCTGCATGACTCACGGAGAGCACTACAAGATTTCACCGACAGTAGTCAAAATCGCTCCGTGAAACAATAAAATCAATTCAAAAATGTCTCTGTGACAGACGCCTTCCGGTAAAAAGTAAACGAATGTGGGCTCATTTGAGAGCCACGTTCACATTTATTGCCACAATAACCCGAAAACTCACAGACTTCGTATTCCGTAAATGTAGAACTGTACCGATATTTATTATTTCCAAGTCCAGTTATTCCTTTGCACCGGTGATGTAACTTATCGGTGCCTGTGGCACTGACACACGACGTCAGGGGATGTTTCATGAATGGCAGGGGATGTTTGATCTACTGTCTGTCACAGAAGGGTCAGGCGATGTCGGATACGACTCAGCGGGCTGGAATCACCGAGCTCGTCCCGACGGTCCCTACAGTCCATTAAACTAACAAGAATTGAACGCAGTACCCGCTGGCGATGCGAATTTGTGGTTTGAAAGTACCAATACCTGAAGGCGGAGAAAATTATATAACGAGAATCTTCACAACTTTAATTCTTCGCCAGACATTATCAACATGATCACTTCGAGATTCACGGAGAATGCTTGTAAAATTGTAGTTGGACAACCTGAAGAAAAGAGACAACTTGAAAGATTTAGATATAGATGGAAAAATAATATTAAAATGGCCTTTAAATAAGTTAAGATGGGAGCATGTGGATAGGTCTAAGCTGCCTTAGGTTAGCGGCCAGAAGCGGGCTCTTGTGAACACGATAATGGACCATCAGGTTCCATAAAAGCCATGACAAATCTTAACCTTGAGGCAAAGCGAAGGCGACCATTCACAAGGTTTAAAAATAATGGAGTAGAGTCCTTGAGAAACCTTCAGTACACTCAATTAGTCAAGAAATATTCCATTTATTACAGAACTCGAAAAAGTTCAAACGACGTAACTTCAGCTATTTCCATAAATTCTGACTTCTAATTCTGCGATCGCAATTTGTAAAGTCAGGTAAAGACCACAGCATTTCAGTCAGTCTCTGACAGGATCTGTCAGCTGTTCAACCATTTAAAGCCCAGCTGTAAATATATGTACCATCTGTTTCAAGAATCAGTATAAAAGCATTTTTTATTTGTGGGTTTCGTATAAATCTTAACGTGAACGAAGATAATTTCCTTAAACAGCGTTAACCAGCTGATCTTTTTTAACGACCAAGTGTTGTGTTTTCTTCGCGGTACGAGCTAAATTCTTAAATATTATTTAGACGAGATTCCGGCTTCAAAGGTTCCACTCGCGGGTTGCACTGCTATAAATGAACGTAATTTATTAAAATTTCGTGGCTGTTTACCAAAAAAGGCAACGAACTTACTCTCGGAAACAAGTTCTCATAGGTCTAGACCTATTATTCAATAATGTTATTTGACAAATTTGCTAATCCTTTATTAAATTTAATTAAATATTTAGATTAGACGTAAAATATTTCTTTTCATCATGAAACTCTGCGCTGCACTGCCAGACATCATGGTACTTTATATTTCATCCTGTAAATTATCAAGAAACCCACGTATTTAAATTTCAACTCTTAAGACATTGACGTTCATACAAAGTAATAAACACCCGATACCACTACGAGAGTCACAATTTGACAATCACACAATTACAAAGAAATATTTATAAAAACAGTGAACAGATCAGTAATCCCTCGATTTATTTCTCTCAGAATACGATCACTTGATAGGGATTTCGTTTTCCATCCAACCAATTTCCTTCCACCCACACTGAAAAGAGGATCACGGAGAGAGAAGTACGGTCGATCAACAGGTGTGTGAAGTTCAAACGTCACTCAGAAGCTGCTGAGATCTGATGCAAATTTGATTACGCGGAAAATACGAACTCGTTCGCAATTTTTCCATCTTCTTTCCACCTAAATCCATTCGAGTGAAACTCAGTCATGCGCCATGTGGGCGTATGAACACTCGTCCACGGAAGTCTTACTTAAAAATAATTGAAAGGAAGGAGAGAAGGAACGAGGTCCATGCAGCAGACGATTTCTTTAAAAGCCAACCATCGCTCATCTAGTCAAGAAAATTCACATACTTGTGAGAAATTTTAATGTTCAATACCGTGTTCACAAAAGTCTGAAGTTGGACACTCTCCTGAGCCGGACGAGTCCATTACACACCTTCATAACCTGATTAACTTTAAAATCCATTTTAATATTATCCTCCCATCTACATGTAGGTCATCAAAGTTGTCTCTTCCCTTTAGGTTTTCTGACCAAAACATTGTCTTCATTTCTCACCCATCTTCACCATTGTAATAAGGATTATACACACCGACAAATGAAGGAAGAAAATAAATTAGAAAGGAAAGAGAGAAAGACAAATGAGATTTCTGCGAGCCATGAAATTAATAGCTCATGGGAACAGAGAAAAGATTAAAGATATAAGAAATGCATTAGATTTTAATAAAAGAAGGGCACGTGGTATCAAATAATACGAAGATATATGTAGAAACCACGGTCTTCGGACGCCAGGGGACGGAATGTCATATTAAAATTACAAGTACGAACCGCAAGGAATGCGAAATCGGGGAAGGACTGCGTAATTATCGGTAGTTTCGGAAAAGGGGTCAAGGTTCGACGTCGACGAACATCTTGCAATGAAAAGAGGGTTTTTTATAATCAATACTTTACGTGCTACGGTCAAACCAGTGTCGGTCCTAAGACCAAGGACGTTCGTGGAATAAATTCATCACTGTGGGTTGATACGGATGTTTCAAGCGAGCAGGAACACGATACTCTCCGTCCCCAAGAAAGAGATGTCGAGAGTTCAGTATTAAAAATCTTAAACGTTCTATTTAAATTCCACGTAAAGAATGTTTTAGAAGAATAGGTACGAATTGAAATGAAATTCATCCTGCGACTTTTAGTATATTTCTCCAGTAGCATTTGAGATTATCGCATCATCAGGTCGATAAGTCAATATCTCTGAAACGTCGACAAACTCCTACCAGACTACACGGCGCTACAACCCAGAAGACAGTCATCTAACAGTATTTTAGTTATGCTTAGAATGCGCCATAGAATTGATATCTCTTAATAAATTTTGACTACTTTTGTTGAGGAAAATTTTAACATGCACTTAAATGAAAATGTTATCACGCAAAACACAATACAAATTCATTCTTAATGGCCTCCATTCAACGTTAACTGGATTTATGTCATTATTGGCTCACTGGAGGTGACCAACAGCTGAAGTGGATAAAAAACCAATTACACTGGCAATAACATTGTTTCCAGACCCGTGTAAATTGAATGCAGTTGTCAGATGTAACGTGAATCGAACTAGAAACATTAATCGATATATCTAAATTCTATGGTAACAAACGCAGCCCGAAAGTTCGACTTCGCTAACGTCGATCTTTCATTGTGTCCAACAATGCACCAATTCAAAACAAATGCATCACACTTTCCATTCAAAAAGTACGGGCCACACTGCTCCTTCTTTGAGAGAGAATAAATTGAAGAAAATAATTCTTTCCTTCTGAATTCAGAATGTGTCGGAGAGGTTTGCAGTTGCCGTCATCGCATGACGCTGCCCAAACCAACCGAAGTCATGGCCCACATTGTTGGCCCACGAAGTATAAACGCCAGCTGGAACCTTCAACTGTCTGGAAGTGGCGAAACAGCGACCCAAGTGAACATAACCAAGTTCATAGTGCAGTAAGTACCACGCTTATTGTCGTCTATGTCAATGCATTGTCGAAACACTCTAAAACGTGGTAATTGTTGGATAACCCTGTTGCAACAATAACATCACGACAATAAACTCTGATACCATTGTTTGTTATTCCAACAAGAAATGGGGAATGGGATGTCACTGTTGTTACTCAATAAACGATTTCCCTAGAGACCGAAGTTTCAGAGATGCTTATTGCCTTCTACATCAGGGCGATGATAAACTTCTACCAGTCTGCACGATGCAGCATCCCAAAGGATAGTCAACTACCAACCGGATCTTGCACGGTATCGATCCAGTCTCCAAGATTACACTGTGATAACAACAATACGAATCCATACTATTTTAAGCTTTCACGACGGCTGAATGCAATTAAGTCTTCTTGGGCGATCAGTGTTGATGATGGAGACAGAGACAGTCTCCGAAACGTCGGATCGATCGTTCAAGTAGATTTAATCGTGCACGAAGCACAACCGCGGGCAAAGAATGACTTCATTCAGATTTGTTTGTAAGTGAATTGGAGACCCACTGGAAAAACGAGAGTTTGCTAAAACCACTAGTGAAGTCAATTACTTCGCGGTCTTACAAGTCTGCTTCGGATTCGTTGCCGGACGAGAAGCTTAACTAATGCTTGTTACGTCTGGTCTACATGGACACAGCACCCACAAGTAGATTAATCTAACAAATAAGCCTTAATTTGTGACAAACTTCGGTTCTGCTTGTTTATATCAAATGTTAGGTTCCGGTGTCGTCTCGGATGACCTTTGCTTCTTACCTGGAACTATCCTAAAGGTTCCACGTGGTACATCAAGTCTTTATTATTATTTAGTGTTCTGTCTGACGACAGGTCCATATGAACAGGATCCTTCCATCCTTTTCTCGGACTGGGACCTGTTCATATACGTTCTTGGCAGATGATCCAGAAGGGGTTTGCCATTGCCTTCTTCTGTGTGTGAATGGAGTAATTGTTGGGATGCCACGGAAGAAAACTCCGCGTTGCCTAGACCACGGCCTTGCCCAACACAAGTTAAAGTTACAGAGCGTTCGCGTACAGTTTGGAACATGAACACTAAATTTTTATGTAGTTCGAAGACGTGGAATAATGAGACCAAATACAAAATGACTTACTTATTTATAAAGCGACGGGAAGAAGGAATTTGAAGGAATCGGACTTGGATGTTAAGACAGTTATTAAATATGAGTAGAATAGTTGTTATTTTTTATTTAGTGTTCTGTCTGATGACAGGTCCATATGAACAGGATCCTTCCATCTTTTTCTCGGACTGGGACCTGTTCATATGCGTTCTTGGCAGATGATCCAGAAGTGGTTTGCCCTTGCCTTCTTCTGTGTGTGAATGGAGTAATTGTTGGGATGCCACGGAGGAAAACTCCGTGTTGCCTAGACCACGGCCTTGCCCAACACAAGTTATAAATTCGGGCACCGCCGGGAATCGAATCCGAGTCCCCAGGATTACAAGGCCAGCGTTCTAACCGCTATCATCAAGTCTTACAACTAAATAAAGAGACTTATTCAGCGAGACAAAAACACTTTCACTGAACTTTAGCAAATGGGCCACTTTTACAGTAGGACCACTCGTCTTCTGACTGTGTGTGCCCATTCCAGAGTATGTCTAGCTAAATTGATGGAAATAATTTTGTGAAAATCGTTCAGCTGTCATTACCCTGTTCTGAAAGTCTTCGAGTGTCTATAAAGATAAGCAAGGGCAATATGCTCTTAAAGGTGATCAGAGACTTCTGAATCACACTGTACTTTAAAAAAAAAACTAAAGAAAAAAAAAGTACTATTAATTTGTTTGTACTGAACCATCACTTTTCTTGGATTTCATGCTTCCGAGCCTCTGGTCGTAAAGCGTGGCTAAACCATCTGCGTTAAACTAGCTTTTTTATCGTCCAGTTTGATGATTTCCTTGCCACAGACACGAACAGCGAGACATCAGGCGACAATAACGTGACGTACGAGACGATTCAATCTGTATGCACCTCCTGAGACTACTGTGAGACAGCGATACCAATAGTCATCTGACAGACGAATGGCGGTAGCAGGGGGAGGGGGGTACACGTGGTTATTCTCGTGAAAAGCGATTGCCACTCTCTTCTGGGGACAAATATTCTCGGTAACGTGTCAAAACTAATTATTCAACAACTGATACTTCTCTCTTCATACAGATTTCAGTTTCCCACGGCGACTCGATGCTATTTACTTGTCGTTTGTTAAAAGATGCTACCATTAGCTCAGACTGCATCGGATTATTAATGAGTAATAAATTGAAATTGATCCAAAAAAGAAGTGACTGGGTTACCACGACCTTTTCATTTGCGTGTGACGTTATCGAAAGCAAAGCTAATCATACGCCTATGTTCAGCGATGTGAATGAGGGTACGTGAAACTTCGCTTTTACTCCCCTCACGCACATTAGCGAGTAGGTAGACGTATAGTTTCAACTTCCAATTAAAATTTAAGTTGCCATAGATGAAAATGAAAAAGTAACATCTTTGTAAATATACCAACTAAACTAACTCCGCGGAGAAGAGTCCTTCTTTAGAGGCGTACGCTAAGCTATTGAAGAAATTCAAAGGATTCTGTTGAATCCAGAGGTTCATTCTGGTGTTGGCGACAGCCTGCCACTGGGCACGATCACAAGCCAGATGAAACGAATCCACACACACCCCATCCCATGTCTCTAAGATCAATTTTAACATCAAGATTTCCAACGAAAATTCTGTAAGCATTTCTCACCTCCCCATGCCAATTCACGCCATCCTCCTTCACTTGATCACCCTAATAATATTTTACGACTACTTTTTATACAGTTTTCAAAGTAATGGCGAACAACTTTTCCTGGCTTGCACCTGTACATCTGAAATCAATTAAAAGCTAACAAGGTCTAAAATAATGAAGAAGTTTTTAATTTCCTTTCTCCTTTCCCCCTTGGAATTTCATTTAATTGACTTTACAGATGGCAGTAGGCGTACCTCACAAAGTTCGCATATGCCTTATTCTGTAGCTGTTCGTCGTGACTTGTTTCAACCCTACAACGGAGACTGTTCATCCACCAGATCACGTTTTATGTTGGGAATTATCTTACGAAAGACGAACGTGCGCGCTTTTGTTGTGACATGATACGGCACGTTAATTTTACGCCCAGTTATTGCACACATATTTTGCATAATCACAAATACTCAATCTTTTATGCAGCAAATCTTATTTCAAGTCATCTTAAAACTACACTGACCTGCATTCATTTCCAGTTTTGGACGTCAGGTGTTCGCAGATCGTCAGATCTACAACATGAGTCCCGTGGGCGATTTGAAGTACGTCAAAACTGCAGATATCACATCTCAACACGAGTTACTTATTGATTCCCCATCTGAGCTCAGACCAAATGTGACATACATGATCAACGTGTTTGTCATAGACAACCGTGGCTGTAAGGGACCTGGAACAAATTACACATTCACACGTAAGTCAATTTTCTTCAGTTATAACCACATTCCACGTTAAACCCGCACATATTCTTAGCATATAAATTTTACGCTACCATGTATATTGGTAAAAGAAGAGAAATTGATATTTTCTCTCCTGGTGACAGCTGTAACTTCTACTTTTATCATATATTAAGTTTATTCTTTTTTACAGTCTGTATGTGGTACACCTCTTGAAATGAGTAAGATAAACAGCCAAACATCAGGAAATTTCAGTCTTCGTGATATGAGCGGATATTCATAATACAAAAATGCGACCCTGTAAATGTATTTACGGGTTTCATATGATTATTAGAGTAAACAGAGATTATTTCCTTAAAATCATCACGTTAATATCTGTAATGGAAATGCGTTGCTTACTTTGGTGAACGGACTAAAGTTTTAAATATTAATTATGCAAGCCTCGACTTCAAACAGCTAAAGTTATGTTTCTGTTTTCCAGTGCCCATTCACGCAACAGCGGAAACTAACCTAACTTTGGTAGGTACATTAAATATATTTCACAATTTCAGATTATTTTTTTAAGTAAAGCTAATAAACAACTGAAATCAATTACAAAAAAATGCATTCTTATCACTTTTAAATGCTATTTTATATTAGTTTATAATCCTCCAAGATTCTCCTGTAGCATAAATCAGACCAAGAACATGCACTTTTCCCTTACAACAAATTTGACTTATAAATAAATAAGACATGATTATTGCTCTTATGACAACATTGTCGCAGTGTACAACTACATCTGAATATTTTAAGACTTTTGGAGCCAAGATACCGTAGTTGTAACGAGCAGACCGTGGGTTCAACGACCAGGCATATTCCTCTTCACAACTGCATCTAGACAAACTTTCGGGTCCACCCAGCCTCCTAACCAATAGGTACCAAAGACCCCTTCCTAAGAATAGAGCAGCAGGGGCATGAAAATGACCGCTCACCACCACTAAGTGTCAGCGTTAAAAAAGTGTGGAGCTATATCATCATGGCACAGTGCTTAAGCATACAAAAAAAAATTACTTTTCCCTTAAATATAACTTATACTGTTCAGAAATAATAAGTATTTAAATCAGGTTCTTAGCTGCAGGCAAGATAACAGACAAATAAGCACAAGTAATTTTAAAACAATTTAAATAAATAAACTGTTCATAAATGTGGTGTATAATGAGGTAATGGATTTCAGGGGGTTGTTGGTCATGGCTCATTGCAGTGGGTGCTAGTAACAGTGTTGCCAGTCATATCATTTTTGGTGGTAAGTATCCTCGCTGTGGTACTGGCCTGGCAACGATGCGGAAGCTGGATTCGTCAGAAGTTGGGAGAAGGTCGACTTCAACCAATTCACAGCTGGCGTGGAGTATACAAGGCCGTCAGCATTGACAGGTTGGTCTGATATTGGCGCTAGCTGGAAGATGTTGCGTTGTGTGCCCGTGTAACCGTGTAAGCGTCATATGTTTCTTTATACAATGTTATTGTGTGTGTAATGTGTGCATGGGCCTGTTTGTATAAGTAAACAGAATTCATATGAACAAAATAAAAACTCTTTGGGAAAAGCTGTGTTCCATCCATTACCATTTTACTTATCTATCACTTTGCATGTTTCATCTCGTAAACCACGAGACAAACTTGAGTTATGTCAGCTGTAGAAATTTGACACTAATAAAAAATTAATTTTTATTAGAATATCTTCTAGACCCACAATAAATACTTTAACATTTTGATTACAATGTCCCATTCTGTTCTCAAGAGTGCTGTACCAAGTTTTGAATACATAAAATTAACAATATATTATTTTTATCAACTGTTAATGAAAAGACAAGACTTCATTTATGGCATCGCCTGTTCTCTTTGTTTCATTTCTTCACAGATGTCAAAGAGCAAATTTTTAACTAGCAGGGGTATGAGGGAAAAAATGTCAGCACTGATGGAACAATTATACTGCGGTGAATCATTCATAAGGGCCTTTTCAGTAAGAACCACGAGAAGGTGAATTTGACAGTTCAGGAGGACAGGTTATTAGAGAGACATCCTACCCCTTCACGTTAAATATCGTATAACCTCTGAAGTTGGAGCAGTGTCTTTAAACAATCCAAGAACCAATCAATCAATCAATATGTGTTTATTTTTGTTAACTGTCTGGATGTTTCTCAGTTTAACTTACTATAAAATAATAAGCCATATGTGCATTCTCTTTCACCTGCATCCATATATGTGTGCGACAAAATCTGCTGTAAATATCTTACACTGTCCTGTATGGTTCTTTATATACCTGTGTTTCTACTTATATGTTAACCTTACATTCCTAAAACCCTCAAGTGTGTTGAGTGTTGTTGCAGCAACTTCTTGTAGCACCTGCTTCAAGTGTCTGGGCACTGCGTGGTGTGCGATAAAGTCACGACCCTTCCCCACCTTACGCAAGAGGGGTTAGTGTTTAACATTTCCGCTTGCTTACGTTCACTGATAAATGTGCAATGAAATGTAATAAATGAACTAACAGTAATTAACAGTGATACTTTTAAACTAGAAACATCAAACCTTTTTAATATATTTTTACCTTATATTATAGTAATAGAATGTAACTGTTATTAAAGGTTCTAAAATAATATAGATTACTTAAAACTTTATACATTTTTCATCTATTTTCTTAAGGGGGACCTAACACTGTGAGAGCATCAGCTGTATCTTATTTAAATTAAATGGCATTCCGTCTATCCTATACAGCTGCATATTTATACTGTAAAGGAAATATTTTAATTTCTTTCTGTGCAGTGGAGCAATTAGGCTTTCACGGAACTTCCCGTCACTTCAGGAGAGGAATATTATATATGTGGAGAAGGAAATAGAGGTAAGTTGTAACATTTGCTTCCTGGAAAATTAATTTTTTTTATACAGCAATCAATGCCACAGACAGAACATTAATTAAAATATTGAAGTCATTATGGTTTCATAGAACAATGTATCAAATTCAGACATATATAAGCACTTCTGCTTCATATTCAGAAGGTTCCAGGTTCGAATCTTGGCCCAGAGACCACTTATCCTGACTTGAGGCTTTTCATGTTTTGGTCAGTCCCTCCAGAAAAATGCAGAGACAATATCTTAAATTAGGGCTTGACCACTTCCTTCCATGTCCTTTTTGATTCATTACTCATTAACCACCTCATTTAATGCTGTGTAGTCTCAGCTACTGACAGCTTTGTTAAATGAATCACAAATCAAAGAATAAGTAACCATAACAGATGTCAAAGTTTGTTTTGACAATAAAAGCTACATTCCTAAAATACTGTATTAAGGCAGACAAATCATTACAGATACTGGTAAAATAACTCACGATAATTAATAAGCCAATTATGTGTATCAGTACTTTATTGGGGGTCTATGAACCTACCACAGATTTTCTCACCCACTCTATCTACATATATTCCACCAGGTTTCATCATGATTTTACTTTTGTATCATGTGAAAGGATGCGAAAGCGCGAGGCGATGCAGATACTTTTGAATTGAGCTATGACCGATTGCAACTGGGACGACAGATCGGGAAGGGAGCATTTGGACGAGTGTTCCTGGCTCGAGCCGAAGCGATTGCTGGTATCCCAGGGTACATCACAGTTGCAGTAAAGAAGTTGAAGCGTGAGTATTCTGATTTTATGACGCACAATGTGAAACACATCAGGCAACCTGTCTGAAATAGAAGCCAAGTACCTTCCAACACCAAGTGAATTGTGTTACTGCTGACCCAACCTGCTTAATACATGTCGGATAAATGAAAACGTTCAGATTAAATGAGTGCAAATATTACTTCTGCCTGTTCCTGAAAAGAAATTTCTTTCAACGGGGAACCACAGTAACTTACATTACGAAGGACAACATACTTAAAGATAATGTATAAATTATGTAATCATGTAATGTGTAATTATATAATAATGAATCTGGTGCGAGCATGATTACGTGATATTGCTATAAGTATTTTTGTGTCAAGCAGACAAACCCTCACCTGATGAAATAGAGGAGTTCTTGTCAGAGATAGCAATGATGAAGCGGGTAGGCCGCCATCCCAACGTGGTCACCATGCTGGGATGCTGCACACTCAAGCAGCCATACTGCATGCTTATGGAATATGTACCATGTGGCGACCTTCTTCAGTACCTTCGTCAACTCAGGGTGGAATATGAACGTCGTACGGGAGGCGCATTTGCAATCTCCAGTACCATGCAGCGTCCCCTTCCACGATATGTAGATCTTCAGCTTCCTTTCATGCAAGTAGCCAGAAACAGATAAATTTGTAACATGAAAGATGATAATGGAACAGGAATTTGGAAAGCATGTTGGATGTACAGTTCAAATTGTATGTGTCCTGATTGTTCAGTCTTGTTAACCCTTCAGTGATGGCATCCATTTAAGAAAAACCATGTGCACAGAAGAGATTTGAACCCCATGTAACTAATCTACAGGGGCTGAGATGGCTCAGTCAGTGTAGTGTCTAACTACAGACTGGATGACCACAGTCAGATCCCACGCAGGGGAAAAGATTTTTCTTCACGCCTTTGCATCGAGACTGGCTCTGGGGCCCAATCAGTCTTCTATCCAATGGGTATAAGTTGTCCCTTCCTGAGAGCTGAGGAATGACATTGACCACTCACACCATCTAGTGATGAGGTTAAGAATGAATAGAACCTAAACCTCCTTTCCCCCCGACCCCCACAAATACCTCTATAGCATGTATCAAAGTCTCACTTCATTTTAGTTTTAAAAATCTGTGTCTACACTTATGGAAGATATTTTACATATCTTCCCTTACTGAGTCTCTCCAATGACCATTCAGTCATCATATTTTTTATGATGCTTTCAAATGAATCCTAGTTTTATACATGCACAACGCAGATGTACAATATTATTTTAAATCAAGGTAACACTTAGTTTTACGGTGAAGAAATATATGAACTGTTTCTGTGATTTCAGTGACTCAGAGGGCTCCTATATACAGCCAGAAATTATTGGCACAACTGGGCGACCATCAATCGCAGACAGTGAGTAAAAAATATACTGAGAGTTTAAAATATTTTAATTTTATGTTCTACAGGAGTGCCCAATAACACTAGTTTCATTTATACTTATACTTTTAATATTATTGTATGATTATGTTATGCATGTTAACAATTTCCTGCTTTGAAATTTGCTTTGGCATCTTTTTTTAACTTCTAGAAGACTCAACTTCAGCATAAACTGTCTTGACTGGGGTATCACTTAACCTCTGAAATATTTTGTGGTTCTTACTTACTACATGCAGACAAGTATTATTATGATAAAAATTATACGTAAATATGCACAAGATCTTCCATAAATATCCTATTCAGTGCTCTAAACATAATCACCCCATCATCTTATAAGCTGCTAAATAATCTTCGGTACAATATCATTAATTAACCAACATACAAACAAATTGACTAGAGGGATATATCTTAATAAATAACAAGCTAATGAACTCTATAGTGATGCTGGTCTTCCAAGTAGTAATGCAGCATGGACTTATATCTATATACCAAGTGTCTGAATGAACAAACTCCATGGCTCAAGAGTCTTCACTGACTAGTTAACCAATTGTTTAATTCTACAAAATTAAAATTTATTCATCTGATCAACAACTTACCTGTTCTTATAAAACCTGAAGGCAATTCACCATGTTTACAAATAGCTGGCACTATATTAAAACCTGAGCCAGTAAAACCTAACCTCACACATTCACAGGCTACTTCTCCAATACACATTTTAATATAATCTCACTGTCTACAACTAGGTTTTCTTGGCAATCTTTCTTTCTTGCACAATATGTTTTATCTACATTTCTCATTTTCACCAAGACTGATTAAAACCTATTTGTGCTGAACAAGCATTAAGAACAGACCATCATTCCTTTTGGTATTCTATTTGCAATGGTGCCACCTGCCAGAAACAAACTTTTTTACTTGTGTGTTCTGATCAGTAATGTAATTACATTGTTTCTTACAGACTGAGGTGAAGTAACTCACAGTTATAGTTTACACACACACAAATTTTGCATTTACTTTATATAACGTATTCCTAATTTAAATTTTGGAGGGAAACCTGTTTGCTAAACATAACAGATTTCCCTCATTTGTATCAAAACTTCTCACAGCATCCATCCAGTATATTCCAAAATGTTGAAAACATTTCTAATTTTTCTGTGGATTGCGGAAATATAAAGCGTGTGTTCCTAGTGAATGGTTAACAGTGGTTTACAGGAGAGAATTCAGGCTCTTGAACAAGAGTTCTATTTGCTCTGCATTTAATCTAGCCTTTCATGTAAAGCATATTACCTCTCCGATAAATTGTCCAAAAAGGCTACATATTCACATAACAACATAATGATCAGATTAAACAAATCTCTTTTAAAATATTCTATCTTTATGTTGCAATATCTTGTCACAGGAACAATCGTCTGTTCTTAATGTCCGAGAGGGTATGTTATAGACACTATTATGATACTATCACTGTCATTAAGCATGCTTGTAGATGCTTTTCATAAATATACATCTGAATTATTTTATTTTTAATTACTGTTAGATGTTAATTATTTTAAATTAGCAATTAATACAATGTACTCTTTTGTTATTCTTACAGCTGAATGGAGCTTGTTGTCAAATGACGGTCCTCTTCTGAAACCAACAGATTTTTCATCTAGGAGTAAGTTGGAATATATCTTGGACCCCAAAGAACTGCAAAGCTTTGCAGTCCAGATAGCCCGCGGCATGGCACATCTAGAACGGAAACAAATCACACATAGGTACTAATTTTTTTTGTACGTCGGCACAGTAACAAACTGCAGTTTGAAACAAGCTACCAGAAGGACAGGCAGATTCGAGTTTTCTATTATCTACTTTGTGCAAACACCACACAGAAACGTATAATGTGGTGATTATGAAATGGAAGACTAGGTTAGTTATATGTAAATTTATAATTATATGAATCATTATTAGAGAAAGTGAGGCAGTGGTCAGAAGAGAAAGTCACATTAAATAATTTACTAAAATATCTCACTAATATTGTAATATAGACATATATATCAAACTAGTTTCATGCACTACAAATATAGTAAACTGCAAACTGAAAAATATAAAGTGTACGATAAAGATAAGAGAAACCTGAGACCAATACCTTCCTCATGATCTGTAATTTTGATGGAATGATGTTGTTAAACTATGCCAAAATATAAAGGAAAAATGTTTATTACAGAGACTTGGCAGCTCGTAATGTTCTAATTGATGAACGCAAGACATTGAAAATATCAGACTTTGGTCTGTCACGGTCCGGTATCTACATTAACACAAAGCGGAAGAAGGTGCCATTACGTTGGTTGTCAGTTGAGGCCATGCGTGACAATCTCTATTCCAGTAAAAGTGATGTGTGGGCATTTGCTATTGTCCTGTGGGAAATTGGAACACTTGGTAAGTAATATGTATTATTCTGATATAAATACTCAAACTAATTCCACATTATATGGTGTTCCTTGAGTAGTGAAATAGCCATTAAGCTGGTAAAAAAATTATCTGTTTTTAAGGTGTCTAAAGGTACGTCGTTTTCACAAAATGCCTACCACTAGACTATCATGAGTCATTTGAAACCAATCGTCATTTTTATATCTCTTGACCAATTTTATCCTCTCATTGATGCTTTAATCACCCACATAATCCCTTTCATTAAGGGGTATCATCAAAAATATATAATTTTTTATAAGTAGTCCCTTCCCTTGACGTTTTTCAACATAAATGTCGTGTGAATTCTTCATATGCTCTAAGCATGCTACATGTCTGACTCATATAATCACTTTGTGATTTAATTGCCATAAAAATAATGGGATATATGAAATATGTAACACATGCCTGTTTTTAGGAGGATTCCCATACCCCAGTGTCAACGACATGGATCTCTTAAACTATCTCTTAGAAGGAAAACGACTGGAGAAACCAGATAATTGCTCAGATGAACTGTAAGTTAAAACAAAATACATAATTTACATGACTCACTGCTGTTTCCCTAAGAGTGGGTCTTCCTTGTGATAACTTCTCTTCACTCTTCTTTGTTCTACAATATGTGGGTCTTCTATATCCATGACCACTCTTTACCTAATCTCTTTTGTATATCTTGGTGTCTTTTAACCTCGTCCTTGAATTATTTCACACCATATTTCATGCTATCAAAGAGTCCCATTTTTGTCCATGTGTAGCACATATTGATATTACTACACCATTAAGTTTGACAGACTGTCTTTAGCATTCCTGTTTTAATTTCTTTCGTGTTGTCCTGAATCAGAATTTTATATCTTCTTGTTCAGTACTAGACAATCTGTAAAAACCTTATCTTTACTGCTTCAAACGTGGTTGGTCTATGTCCATATTTCTAATTCATATATCAAAATAGGCTATAAGTTTTATGCACAACACAGCTTCAACTTTTTACAAAACTTCATAATTTTAAATGATATATCTAAGAGAAAATATTATCCTGTGATATCAACAAGAACGAGAGCTCATGAAACATCTCGTTCATGCCCGTAAGGTTCTTTCACGTGCCGTAAATCTACGACCGCCGGCTTTACTTCCCCTCCGAAGGAAGTCGTGCCACGGATCTTTATCACCTTTAAAAATCCATCGACCTCAGCCGGGTTTGAATGCTTTGAGAAAATGCTTCACATCATTATCTTCTCCTGTTTCAGGTATTCTCTCATGCTTCACTGCTGGTCACATTCTGCAGACATGCGTCCTTCTTTTGCGGAACTTGTGTCACACCTGGATTCAGTGATATGCAGGAAGCGAGTTTATGTAGACTTTACGTCGCTGAAACCAGACTACAGTTTTCCACCCACTGAACAACAGACCGAAGTTCCTACTACTGGTACTGCTGAACTGTCTAAGTGAGTTAAGATATAATTTGCTCCGGCACATAAATGTGGAGAGGTACAAGACTGCAAATGAGCGTGGTAGCTCACAGTCAATGTGTCTACATCATATCTGGTAGGTCCACAGACTGAACGCTGCGGCCAGCAGACCATGCAAGTTCATGATGTTCTTCAATTAAATCAGGAAAAAACAGCATCATGTACTTATTAAAATGCCACTACTCTACCTTCTTTGCATTTGGAGGTCCACCGCAAGATGGCTTTCCTGACCGCGGCCATGAGAAACAAGGTAAAATTTTAGCGAGGATAGCATTTTTCTCTCGTACAGAATATCAGAAACAAATAATTAATATAATTACTTCTGGCACTGTATGTAACGTTTTACCACAAAACACCTAATGTTTCAGTCAAGTGATTATCACTTATTTGTAATCAGGAGGTCTCAAGTTCAAATCTCAATCTGGATATTCAGTTTTTCCTTCAGGAAAATTCCAGGATGGTATGCATCTTAAATTTGGCCACAGTTCCATATTTCTGTATCCTTTCCAATTCATTATTCATTAATGACCCTACCATTTGACATTATGTATAGTAGTTTAAGGTATAAACTGTCATTAAACAAAACATAAATGTAATTGAATACTGTACTTGAACTTCATCATATAGGAACAGATGATTTTGACCTCCATACGATGGGGATACAAGCTACTCTTTGACCCTGTGGTAAACAGCTAAGCAATTAAGTGTAACACATGGCAAGTTGAATATGGAATAACACAGGTTTAAGACTAGCTCGATCAGGGGTTCAAAGACATCTGGCGTTTATCCTCCTTTCACCTGAAACTGGCAATAGAACCAACTTCCAAAATGATGTGGTTTTTAAAATATTTAAATGATGGATAAAGTCTAAAAAAAAACATTTTACGCTATAAAATCACGGCTTTAAGTTTTTTCAGAGAGGATCGCTGAATGTACGATACATACAGTTCTTCGGACATTGGTATATGTACTAAGTACTTTGTATTTGTGACAATGGGACTGGACTAAGTCAGCTGAACAATATCAGTGTACAGTATTATTAGTGTTTTGATATAAAAGCACATGCTCAACAACCTGTAACATACTAGTCACTTGTGCGTGCGTGCGTGCGTGCGTATGTTTCAGAAAATATGGATGTCGTTGTGTGATATTCTGAATGTATAAGACTAACAATAAGACATTCCTAACTGTAAAAGTATTTTGTATTGCATCTGAAATCTACAAGTAACTGTATAATAAAATTCAATTGAAGGTTTAATACAATAAAAGTAGTTACAAGTTCTTCAGCACGTAGTTAACATTCAGTCATCTACTAATTATAAGATTCAAATCCTACTCCATCTCAATTTTATGCATTTATATTTGACTGTTCTTTTTAACCTTTATTGTACAAGGACAGGGGATATAAACCCCTTATTATGGGGCTGCTGGCTTAATTTTTAATCTTGAAAGCCGTTATAATAAAAACCTAAGACGTAAATTTTCAAGTTTCTTACGGTGTTTATGGTACAAATGTGTTATCGTGATACACTGCTAGATGGACCACGTGCGAGCTGTGCTTAAGGTTGAATTCACTCTATTCTAATGCAATCAGGCCAAAGCACTTAAATGTACTATACACACGTATAAATGTGACTGTTCTGTCTGACGACAGGTCCATATGAACAGGATCCTTCCATCCTTTTCTCGGACTGGGACCTGTTCATATACGTTCTTGGCAGATGATCCAGAAGTGGTTTGCCATTGCCATCTTCTGTGTGTGAATGGGATGCCACGGAG